GTTGGGGAGCAACTCAGGCCCCCACCGGTACCCAGGGCCTGCGTCAGCGTCACTTAAGCTGGAGGCATTGTGCAATCTGTGGTGAAGCCGTGGCCCAGCTGGATGCCTGGGTCACCATATTTTTAGGCCCAAAGGAGAAGTGAAAAGGCCTCAGAAGGGGTGAATCATCTCCTGGGGAAGAACCCAGGTGCCTTGCCCAGGCCCCAGCTCTAGGAAGCAGGCCTTGGGGAAGGGGCTTCAAGGAGGGAGTGCCCTACCAGCTCCCCACTTCTCCGAGAGCAAGCTTTGGAGAGCTCAGCCATGGCCTTCAGGCCTGGGCAAGTGTAGGGTGTAGCTGCCAGCCCAGGCCTAGTTGGAGGGGTGTGAAAGGCTCCAGTGACTCAGCCTGGTTAGGGAACTGCCCCACCCAACATCTTCTGTGCCCTGATTCCCATGTTCCTGCCCAGGGGCCTCTTGTTCTGGACCCCACATCTGCAAGGAAAGCCCAGGAACATGGAGACCCATGATTTACCCAAAGCCCAAGTCCCCACACTGGAGTCCTTGGAAATGGCCAGCCGTGTGGGTGTCGGTGTGGGGCAAGTAGGACAGGCCCACAGGAAGGGCAGCAGATCTCTTGGTCACTAGCTGAAGCTGCTGTCCACAGGTAGAATTTCTTCCTCAGGGAAGCCACATTTCTGCCCATTTATTTGACTGAATCAACTCTCCAGGTCATCTAGGATATTTCCTTTACTTAAAGTGAACTGATTATAAACTTTAATCACATGTACAAAATTCACAGCATCATCTAGATTACTGTTTGATTGAATAACAGGGGACTGTAGCCTAGCCAAGTTGACATGTAAAACTGACCATCATAATCTAGTCCTTATCGATTTGGCACCCATACACATCTAATTAACCATAGTTAATCTCTAATTAAATACAAGAACAAAGTCATCTTCCCACCGAACATGATGCAATTATCTGTGTACAGCCAGAAATGCACTCTTTACCCCAAAGAGCCCCCTGGCTCCCAGCCTGGGGTACATGATGTATGTTAGTGGGAGATGTAGGTCACAGCACACACATTTAGGAGACATGCACACCTGTCCTGTGAGGTGGAGTCAGCACAAGAAACTTACTAAGAAAATCATAAGGAATGAAAAATACAGTATTTATTGAAAAAAATCCACATGTGAGTGGACCTGCCCAGTTCATGGGTCAGCAGTATGTCAAATAGAAGTTCCAAGAAGAAAAATAAAGCAGAAAACTGGGATCAAAAATAGAGACTTTTGATTGGGGGGAGTGGGGTGGGGAGTAGGAATAACATGCAAGACTTGCATGAGAAGAATTGTTACTTTATTGAGAAAGTTTGAGAGCTTAGGTTGGGTAGTGGTTCATAGGTATTCATTATTATGGTCTGTAAATAGATGTCCCATGTGTTTATTATTTGTTAAGTAGATAGCAGTAGTTTTTTTTAATCTTTGACAGAGGATATGAAGGCCTCACTGACAAGATTGACTTGAAGGGGAGAGAATAAGTTATGAACATAAGGGCATTGAGGGAAACAGCATTCCAGGAAGAGGGCATGGAATGGCAAGGGCAAGGCCCCGAGGCAGGAATGGGACAGTGTTTATGGAATAATGTGGAGGCCTGGACCATAGTGAAGGAGCTGGAATAGAAGCCAAGACAGGTTATGGAGGACCTTGGTTTAGATCTTCACTGGATTATTCAACCCAGAAGAAGATTGTACAGTCAGGGGACATAGGGACTTATCTCACCCCACCCAGCAGGGAACAGCATAACCCGCCATCCTACAGTCATGGTGTATTCATGGTCTTAGCACAAGCCCACAGACTAAAGGAACAATTCAACCATGTAAAATATATAAACAACCCTCTAACCACCACTTAATCTGCTATCTCTCACCCCATCACAGACTTTGCCCATGACAGGCTGACTCAGCCCTGCCCTCAGTCAACACTATCAAAAGCAGCCTGGGCTGGGGAGAGATAGTTTCCCAGGTGGCAATGTGTGTGCCTGTGTGTCTGGTTGGTCCACAGAGGCCACCAGGATCAGCGAAATGGAGTGGGATGTGCGCCAGCTGTCCGCCCCGTCATCATGTTGGTTCTAGACGTCAGGAACCAAAGTTCACCAGTTTCACTACCTTGTGACTGGCCACAGAGGAACCGGATCCAGACAGTGGCCTCACATGTCCTCAGCAACACCCCCCAATAAGGACACAGACACATAACGTTCACTACACACACTGAGCTGCACGAACCTTGCCCACAGCTACAACTGCCTATAATCTCACAGATACTTGAAAATAAGCAGATTTTAATCTCACAGATACACACTCAACTTAGAAGTGTGTGCACAGATCTTTATCGTACAAGAGGGCAGTCATACCTCACTAGGCTCCCTCAAGGAGTTACACTTAGTCACTCCAGATCCCACAGTGGTTCGGAGCTATACATAGGTGTGCAGTGGGTAAGTCACACTGTCATGAATGCCACCTCAAAGGCAGTTAGGGTTGAGTACCTACTCAAGATGGTTAAAGTAACATGGTAGAATCAATCACACGGGTCTAGGCGGTTTCCCACATTTATTCACAGGCATGTCAAGTGGGATTGGAAGACACGGGCCTCACACGGTAAAATGGACCGCAGGCACTCCGGGTCTCACAAGCCGTCAAACCAGGTGCACATCTTCACACCTGCAGCGCCCACACTTCACACAGCGACCGATACGCACGCCCCGGTGGCCCCACACATTTGCACACAGCCCCCCGCTCCTGCTCACGCCCAGTCAATCCGGCCGGGACCGCACGTGCCTCCAGCGCAGGGCCCCGCTCGCCCGCGCACTCTCGCAGGCTCTCACACCCCCGCGTTTCCCGTCCCCGCTTGTTTTTCTGGAAACTGCTCTCCACTCCCCTCCCCCTAGGCCGGAAGTGCTCACTGTATTTTTAGCCTCTCTGGTTTCCGCCCCTTTCCCCCCTCTGCCTGCCTAAGACCTGCCCCCGGTGCCCCGCGGGGTATCCCGGCCATCCCCCTCCCCACCGTCATTCCAGAGGGGATTCCCGGCGGCTGGCGGGGCCCCGGATTTTCCCGCTGGCTACGTGGGGAGTGGGGAGGAGTCCTGCCCCGAAGTTCCTCCTCGGCCCGGGCCAAGTTGGAGGGGGGATAGGAGCCGAGCTGCCAAGTCCGCGGAAAGGGGCTGGGGACTCGGACTCGGGTCTGATGAAGGACTGGGCTAGGGGCCGGCTGTCCTGGGTCTGAGAGTGGAGGTGGCTTGGACACCGGACCCCTAGATCTGGGCAAGGAGTGGCCGGAGCCCGGGCTTCTGGGCCCGCCCGCCGGTGCCAAGGCCCCCGCCCCCTCCAGCCTCTAGGAGGGCTGCCCCGTCCCAGCGTCCAGGTTGTCGTTGACTCAGCACAGGGACGAGGGGAGGGGGTCAGCCTGACTCAGGCTGGGAAAGGGAATCGACACTGGAATCCCCCCCTCCCCAGGATCGCTCCGAAGACCCCAGGGTGTCCCCCACCCCTGCTTCCCGCGCCTTCGTCCTACTAGCGGCCGAGGGGTCTGGAGCCTGGCCCGGGGGCGGGTGCCAGACACCTCCCCTTTCAACCTTTTCCCGTTGTCCTCGAGCCTCTGTTTACAGGCGACCGAAGCCCTGGTTACAGAGAGGAACCGGCGTCACGGCTTCCAGGAAGCCCCCTTCCCCCGCCCCTTGCGAGTGAGTCACGGGAGGCTGCAACCGTGCGGAGCCGCCCGAAGCGGCCCAGCTCACGGGACCGGCCGGGAAGGCCGTCTGTCGCCCCAGAAGGCGCCGCACCAGGGATTCCCCTGAACTCTGTCCGACGAGGCAGGTCCGCGTGTTTGACCGAATCTCCCACCGCCACACAAGCCAGCAGCCAGCCTGCCATAATGAACTTTGCACCATTGTAACTGCACTCCGTGGCAATGATTTCTGCCCCCGATTTTCACGCAGGGCAGCCAGCTCACCAAGACTCCCTTAAGAAACGAGTTTTCTTCCCAGATCACAAAGTTCTCGCGCAGGGCAACCCTTTGACAATAAACCACTTGAGAATGTGGGAAAGGTTCCCGGCAAGTTGAGAATTCCCTCTCTCTAAGTCCCAGGACCATCAGTTGTCGATGACCCATTTCTTCCATCTCAAAACAGCTTTTAATCAAGGTAACCCTCCACCTGGGTTTCCTCGTGTGTAAAATGAACACAATAACCCCTCCTTGAGTTAACGAACTTAAAAGCACTTTCATATGACGGCATCCAGCCCAGAGAAAGCCATCAGAAGTGCCCCTATCTGCGGGAGGACGAGGCTACAGCGGCTCTGGAATTGGGAAGGGAGGCCCCTTTCCAGTCTTGCCAGATACCAGGGTCCCCACCCCTCGCGAGTGAGGGTGCGGAGGGCCGAGGTCTGCGGATCTGGGCTGTTTGAGGGCGAAACCAAGGCAGGCGAGTCGGTCTCCCAGGAGAATTCTCTGCCAGGCCTTTGGTCTCTTCTGTTTTGCTCCTGCATATTTTTGTCTTGTGGGTTGTTTTATTTCCTCCCTCTTTTTATTTGACTTCCCCTCTAGCTTTTCGCTATGAATTTGTCCCTGGGACTGTCTCTTCAAGTCTTTTCTGCCTGTGTCCCCACCTCTCCTTACCCTGTTTATTCCCTCTCTTCGTATACCTCCCTGTGTGGGTCCCTTCCTCCCTCCCTCCCTCCCCCCCTCTGCTGTGTATCTATGTTTTTCTCTTTGCGTTTCTCCATTTCTGGGTCTCTGGCTCTCTCCGCACTGCTCCCCGCCGCCGGCGTCAGTCTTTCTCCCACGCGCACGCCCACTGCCTCGGCCTCTCCCCTTGTCGATTTCCCCTGGAGCCCTGCCCCCACCTCCGTCCCAGTTCCCTTCCCGGAGCCTCGGACTCCAGCCTTGAAAACGGGGCCGACACCCCCATCCCACGCACTAAAAAACCTCCTGGCCCCGCCCGCCAGCGCCCGGCCCCGCCCCTGTGTCTATAAAATCGCCGGTTCCTCCACCCAGCGGCAGCTTGGCCTCGGCGCTCGCACGTTCTCCCGGGTTTCCCGCAGATCTCCCTTCTGCGTCGCCATGGATCTCAGCGCCCTCTACGAGGTAAGTCCCCGCCGACCGGCACCTTGGGGTCCCCGTGCCCAACGGACTCCCTTCTCAAACTAGGGCTCTGTGGCATCGCCAACTCCGGCCGGGACTCCTGGCTCTCTACTCAAACTGGAGCTCCTCGGCGCCGCCCGCTCGGGCCCGGGGTCCTGCCTCCCTTCCCAGTGCGGTTCCCTGGAGGTGAAAAATGGAGCCTGCGACTTTCGGGTCTCGGCTCAAACCTGGATAGGGTGTCCCTAGGCGATGAAAAGCTGGAGGAGTTTTCTCAAACTAGGACTGTCTGGAGGCGGAAATGGCCCCACACCTGGCTTCCCCCCAGTAGTTGCTGAGGGTGCGGTTTTACGCGGAGACGTTTCAGGGGCTGGAATCTTGGGGTGAAAAAGGCGACTTATGAACCAAGAGAACTCTGGGATTCCAAAACCGAAGAGATCGCACTCCTGGGTTGGCTTTGCCGCCCCGCCAGTTGTGAAACGAGAACACGAAGCGCTGGGGTCAAATCCCGAGAGACCCAGAGGCTCAAAATTGGTGGACAGTGGTGTGCCCTGAGGCGGGGAGCCGGGATTCCTGGGCCCCTCGAGGTGCGCTTCTGTCCCGAAAAAACCCACAACTTCCAATTTGGGATCCCCACAATCTCTAACCCATGGGTTTCTGCGGGCGGGTGGGGCTCAGGCCAGCAACCCACAAACTGGACTGGCAAGCTCTGAGGTGCCCTGCAGCTGGGGAGGGGTGCCACTTGCATTTTCGGTGTTATAACAGATCCCTGTTCCCACAGAGCCTCCTGTCGCTGAGCCCTGATCTGCCATCCAACCAAGGAGATACGGAGTCCAGCCCAGGCTGGGCCTCTGGACTCTGGAGCCTCAGCTCATCAGACTCCAGTCCCGCTGGGGTCGCTGCCCACCTGCCTGGCCGTTCTACCAGCCTGGTAGAGGGTCGAAGCTGTGGCTGGGTGCCCCCACCCCCAGGCTTCGCACCCCTGGCTCCCCGCCCAAGCACTGAGCTGTCTCTCTCACCTACTTCCACCCCCACCACCTCATCCAGATACAAGACTGAGCTATGTCGAACCTTCTCAGAGAGTGGGCGCTGCCGCTATGGGGCTAAGTGCCAGTTTGCCCATGGTTTGGGCGAGTTGCGCCAAGCCAGTCGCCACCCCAAGTACAAGACAGAATTCTGCCACAAGTTCTACCTCCAGGGCCGCTGCCCCTACGGCTCACGCTGCCACTTCATCCACAACCCCAGTGAAGACCTGGCCTCCCCTGGCCACCCCCACATGCTGCGACAGAGCATCAGCTTCTCAGGCCTGCCCTCCGGCAGAAGATCCTCGCCGCCACCAGCAGGCCTGGCAGGCCCTTCCTTGTCCTCATGCTCCTTCTCGCCCTCCAGCTCCCCACCACCACCACCTGGGGACCTTCCACTTTCACCCTCTGCCTTCTCTGCTGCCCCTGGGACTCCGGTGGCCCTAAGGGATCCCACACCAGCCTGTTGTCCCTCCTGCCGAAGGGCCACCCCTAGCAGCGTTTGGGGACCTGTAGGTGGCCTGGCCCGGAGCCCCTCTGCACAGTCCCTGGGATCCGATCCCGACGATTATGCCAGCAGCGGCAGCAGCCTGGGAGGGTCTGACTCACCCGTCTTCGAGGCTGGAGTGTTTGGGCCACCCCAGCCTGTAGCCCCTCGGCGACTCCCCATCTTCAATCGAATCTCAGTGTCTGAGTGACAGGTGCCTGCCCAGTACAGATCAGCTGTATCTCAAGGGGGGCCATTTCTCTTGTGCTATGGTCTCCACAGAAGCCCTGGGGCTGTGGGGATACGGGGAACTCAAGTAGCCTCACTGCCTTCCAAATGCATTAACCTACTCCCCTGACCCTATTCTGGGGCAGGTCCCCAGTGGGCAAGCTCAGCGTTCCTGGTGTTGGAGGAAGGCGTGTATTCTGGAGTCTTTTTTTTT